GGGGGGGGGAGGGCAGCAGCAGCGTGGCCCGTGGCGCTCGGTCGGCAGACAAAGGAATCCTCGCGGCGGTTGCTGCTCCTTGTGGAAATGCCGCGCGTTTTGCCCCTTGTTTTGTGCCTTTCTCTCTTCCCCTGGGCGGTGGGGGGGAGAGGGAGGCCGCGCGCTTGGGGGCGGGATCGGTGCTCGCTGTCGCCTGAGCGAGTAGGGAGCTCTGCGGGCCCCGCATTCGCGCGTGTGCTGGAATTTGGGCACGGGTCTTTCCAGATGTATGCATGCTTTAGGCACCATAAAGTACAGCTACACACATAACAAAGGTAACGATAAAAAGCTGCAGGGCGTGCTTTTGCAGGGAGGGCCTTAAGCATACATAACTTTTTTTTTCCTTCCCTTCTTGGTAGGGTTTGATTGAAATAAAAGATGGACTGGAGCGGGAAACACAATGGGCCAAACGATACAACTAACGATGGAACAGTAGTACGACTTCGAGGCCTGCCATTTGGCTGCAGCAAAGAAGAGATTGTGCAGTTTTTCCAAGGTATCTCTAGTATAGTCGAAGTATAGTGACTGAGCTCTCTTGTATCTATTGCACAATGTTTCATGCTGTTTGATTTGTAATATGCATTAATGGGGTGGGTGGGCGGGAGGGATGATGTTAAGCTAGTTTGTCATTCTCTATGTAAGATTTGTGCCTAGTAATTAAAGTGCATATAGTGGTAGATATAGTAAAGCTGAGTATATATCTAATTTTGTCAAGGCGGAAAATGTATTATGTATAAATAGTCTATCTGATGGCATTTGGAGCAGTTAAATTGCTTGTTTGGTAGCTGTGCTTCATTTAATGGAGGTGGTTGTATTTGCATAGTTTAAGAAAGTTTAAGTTGTTTAGAAAACAACTATGGTTAAATCCATAAATGTTTAATGAAAGATCATTGGCTTGTATTGTTGGGTGATGGGGGAGACTTAAGGGTGTCTTTTTTCTTTTCTTTTTTTTTTTTTTCTTTTTTGTTGTTGTTGTTTAGATATGCTTTAAGTATTTGCTACAGATGGGAATGTTTCAGCCTTTAACACTGTTCCCCTTGATGGGGTTATTTGTCCTTGGGTTAAAGGGTTGGAAATCGTGCCAAATGGGATAACATTGACGCTGGACTACCAGGGGAGAAGCACAGGGGAGGCCTTCGTGCAGTTTGCTTCAAAGGAGATAGCAGAAAATGCTCTGGGGAAACACAAGGAAAGAATAGGGCACAGGTGGGGATGGAGAGTTTGGGATGGCGTTAAATCTTTATTTTTGGGGGTTGTGGGTCAGTAATGCTGTTGGGGGGGTTGGGGACCTAAATAYTGAACTGGCTATTTTTTTTTAAGAATTTTTAAAATTGATCCTAAGTTAACTTGGGGAAATATAGTAGATTTGGGGGGTGGGGGAGACAGTAATACTCTGTGTAGTTTGCTAAAATCGGAATTCTGTTTCAATCCTTTCTGTGTAGTGGGGGCGGGGTTTGTGATAAATGCCACAATAGCCAGATACTGTTTTTCAACAGTATGTTTTTTCATACTGGAAAGAATCTTTTATGTATAATTTGTGCCGTTAGAATTTGCACATATGTTACTAATGTACAAGTGTTACTTTGATACACTTAAGATTCTTAAGGCTTTGAGGAGAAACTTAAGTTTTATGGTATCTTTAGTCATTTTATTGACTTTTATTGGCTATTATATTTAGTTATAGAAAGTAATTTAATACGGCCTTTTGTAATATTCAGACAGCTTATGCATGTATTCTCATTTGTACCTCAAAAATCCTCTTTTATTTAGATATATTGAAATCTTCAAAAGTAGTAAGAGCGAAATCAGAGGATTCTATGATCCGCCAAGAAGAATGATGGGACAGCAGCGACCTGGACCATATGATAGACCATTAGGAGGAAGAGGGGGTTATTATGGAGCTGGGCGTGGAAGTATGTATGACAGAATGCGTCGAGGAGGTGGTGGATATGACGGTGGTATGTGTATCTAATGAACGGAGGTTCTGTTGTCAGTCTCGTATTCCTGACACCTTTATTGAGAAATAAAGAAACGGCAGTAGCTGCAGTTCCTACTTGGATTGAAAAATTTCCTGAGAGGGAATGTCAGAAACAGTGTTTCAAAAAGTACAGCTTAGTCTTTAAGAGTTGTTGAAGTGATAGGAAAACTGTTTACAGCACAGTTGAAAATTTTTACCTGCATGCTTCATTCTTTTTATTTTATAAAAGTGAATTTTGCACATGCAGTCTGTTAGAAGTCCAGGTTTAGCAGTTGGGAAAGCAACTGCGGACTTTTGGGTGCCCAGAGACTGAAAACTGACTCTTGTGTGTTGCTTCATGCATATTTAGTAGTAATGTAATCATACCTTTTTTCTTCTTTCTGCTCTGTCAATTGTACAGGATACGGTGGCTTTGATGACTATGGTGGCTATAATAACTATGGCTATGGAAATGATGGCTATGATGACAGAATGAGAGATGGGAGAGGTAAAAACCTATGGTTTGTTTAAGGAAATCTCTATCAGTTTAGGGAGCGTAATACTTTATTTATTAGAAAGAATGAAGAAAGTTGTTTAAAGGAAGAAAGAAGGGAAAGTGGAAAAATTAGAAGTATTGTTAAAGATATCGTTCAAATGAGTGTTTTGGGTGATAGCACTGGAAGTATAAACATTGAATAATCAATAATGTAGTGGCACACAGAAGAACAACAACAGCTCTTCTGGCTTTTCTTCAGTTTTTATGGGTAATTTCTCGCTTTGTTTTTTAATAGGCATGGGACATGGCTATGGTGGAGCTGGAGACGCAGGTTCAGGTTTCCATGGGGGTGGTCATTTTGTTCACATGAGAGGACTGCCCTTTCGAGCAACAGAAAATGATATTGCTAATGTAAGTATCTGATTGAAAGAGCCTTCTAATGCTGGGAGCTCTTTTTTTTTATACAGTTTTCAGCCCCGGTGATTGATAGATCTGTCACTTATTTAAATTCATGGCTGTTTATGTGAGTTTACTGCTACAGAACCTAGCAGTAAACAAGTCTTTATAAAGTTAAATCTTGAGGTAGGATTATTAAAGAAGTCCGCCAAATTATATTAACCTTAATCTGTACACTCACTACTTATTTGTTTACGTTAGAAAATGTATTGGAGAGATGGKTGGCACTTAGACGCCTTGGTTCTGAAAAGAAGAGGGGAAAAAGTTACCTTCCTTTTCCAGGGAGGCTTTGTACTAGAACCTGTTGCTTAAAGCACTATGCCTGGGCAGGTATTTTTTCAAATTATAGATTGTGTGTCTGGCACAATGCCACCGATAACTAGAAAATAACTAACTAGATTTGTTTGACAGGATGAGAAAAAAGCAATGCTCAGTAGTAGTTACCGGGATAGCCAAAGCTGTCTGCAGCTTGAATTCTTAAGTTCATGAGATTTTTATTTGTCCTTAGTTTTTCTCACCACTGAATCCTATAAGAGTTCACATTGACATCGGTGCAGATGGGAGAGCAACAGGAGAAGCAGATGTGGAGTTTGTAACACATGAGGATGCAGTAGCTGCCATGTCCAAGGATAAAAACCACATGCGTGAGTGTTGTGTTCATGTGAGCTTTACATTGACAATTCCTTAGGTGGGTACGTAAGAGAAAATGCGGTAGAAGGTAATGTTTTAAGTTGCTCTGCAGTGATGTCTGTTGTAGTCGACTTTCTGCTGTTGATCAGAATTGCTAGATATTGTTGCGTTTCAGACTCCCTTTTTGCAGACTTCGGGATGAAGATGCTGTCTGTGAGAAGTTGGGTTTTACCTTATCTCTGGTTCCAGGTTTTGAATTGAAACATAGGCAGCTCTTTTTTGTTTCTTACAGAGCATCGATATATTGAACTATTCCTGAATTCCACTGCTGGAGGTGGATCTGGAATGGGAGGCTATGGCAGAGATGGAATGGGTAAGTATTAACTTCGACATAGTTCACTTTCTTAAAGGGTTTGTTTTTCCCCAAGTTTCCTGGGTTCCAAGTTTATAAGCATGTACATTCTGTCTTTCAGATCAAGGCTATGGCTCTGTTGGTAGAATGGGAATGGGTAGTAATTACAGTGGAGGGTACGGAACTCCTGATGGCTTGGGCGGCTATAGTAAGTAAAAGTTCTGTCGTGTGCTCGGCAGCTACGGTGCTGCATTACCTTGTGGCAGGATCTGGAAAGGTGGGATCTCTGTGGTACAGGGTGTTTGCGCTTTGGGCAGGGGCGGGGGTGGTGGTTAAATCATAAATCAGTGGTGCTAAAGTGGTGTTAATTTGGTGCGACTTAACATGGGGCCAAACCACTGTTCTAGTATCACCGATCAAATTTTTTCTTTTCTTTAAGGTATGTATACGTGACCTTGTCAATTGTTTGCAGGTCGTGGCAGTGGGAATAGTGGAGGATACTATGGGCAAGGCAGTATGGGTGGAGGAGGATGGCGTGGAATGTATTGAAGGATGGCCTTGCTTCTACAAAATATCCCAGAAGAAACAGTCTCTGGTCTACTAGACTTTCTTACAAAATTCAATTTCTTTTGTATTTTAAGAACTTTATAATGACTGAAGGAATGTGTTTTCACAATATTATTTGGTAAGCAACAGATTGTGAGGGGAAAATCTGTTTTCTGTAGGTTTTATTTGTTGCATACTCCGACTTTAAATAAATTTTTATATTCAAACCACTGATGTTGATACTTTTTATACTAGTTACTCCTAAGGATGTATTACATATTCAAGAAAAGAGTCGGTTTAAGATGTTGTACTACTCTTGGTTCAATAAAGGTGGTTGTACTGTGACTCTTACAAACACTGATTTAGGTCTGTGTATCTTGGTGTAGTGAATGAGTTGCAAAATTCATTTGTTTAAAGGAAAAAAGGTATTTGAATAGGATAGTTGATTTGGTTACAGCTTCTCCTCAATCTTTTTGATAAGTGTATGTAACTTCCTMCTACAGCATTAAGCTAAAAAGGGTGTGGAGGCTAAAAGTTGAGAATTTCAGCTTCCTTCCTCGGGTATTGAAATCTACTGTGATTTTCAGACATAATACTACGTAAATAACTGAGCAGTGACCAAGTTCTGTGCATCCACAAAACTAAGCGTGTGTTTAGTTCCAGTTTGCTGTAGAGTTCTAGAAACTGCATTTCACATCTTCCTTCATAAATGTGCAAATCACTTGTTTACCAAACTAAAACACTAGCACAGCTTATCTCTTAGTTTACATAAACTAGGTCAAGTACTTGTTAATTTGAAATGATCTGCTTGGTACTTAGTTTAAAAAAAAAAGTTCTGCTTTTAGGAAGGTGGGGTAATTTTAAGGAGGTTGGCCTCTTCATGACTTTTTTTTTTCCTCGCACACAGCTGACTTTTCACTCTTTGTTCTAAATTTTGCAAGCCAGTAGCTGGGCAAGCAAGTGGAAGCTCAGTGCCTCTAAAAAAGGATCTAAGCCTAATATTAAATAATCAACACTTCCAAACCACCTGATGACATTTTTGTGCATTTATGAGTTGTAAGATATGTAAGAAACATTGTTTGAAGACACTTACCATACTTGCTGTGTAATGAAAAAAGGTATTTTATATTTATTCTGAGCCAGTGTGATCTCCCAAACTAACTGCTTGTCCTCAATGCCTCCTTACAATGTCAAATGTGATCTTGGGTATTGAAAGTCTGTCACCTGTTCTGCTAGTACTGTGATATATATGTAATAAATGTCTTACTGTGGGAGAGAGGAGAATGGAGTCTATTTTACGAGAGACTGTGTTCTTGTGCCAAAGGGGCTGGAGGTGATGGTAGCTGAAGAGGTAACGTAGCCAGGAACGCTCCACCCATAGTGCCTGTTTTCTCTGGGATAGGAAGGGGAGGGGACAGGACTCCGAAATTACTCTAGCAACACTGTCACAGGACACTAACCMGTGGAGAGGTGGTGAACTGCTGAAAGGGCTTGCATCTTACCTGCAAGGCACTAAGGTGTCATGGCAAAATACATTATGGTCAGGTGGAGAGTATCTAGAGTTGACAAAAGCTGCAATATTTCCCTTAAAGCACAGCATAGAAGCTATCTCTACCCTAGCATCGTCTGTAATTTATCCTTGCTTCCATTTTGCCTTTTATGAGAAAGATATCACTTTTTAGGATGTAAGTTAAGCTTCAGCCTATTTCAGCCTTATAAGCCTATTAAGCTGCACCGGGCTTCAGCACACTGATCTCTCTATTTAAATGGAAGTGGAGCCCTCACCAGTTTTTCTCTAAAGGAGCCAGCATTCAATTTTAAATCTGATTAAGTGAACAAAAAAACTCAAGAACTGGAATACGATAATTTTGACTATTTCCACATAGGCTGAACTATAGCAAATAATCCTTTCTCTGCAATAAAGTCCTTTTTATAAAGAACTTTGCTGATTGTGCAGGTAGGAACACATCTGCAGGCATGTTTATCTACCTTAGCTGGAAAAGCGGAATAGGGAGGGCTCGTCATTTCTCAATGCAACATTGTAAGCATACGTCCTTATTCCACAAGTATCCAAATGTAMAAGAGCAAGCTATTAGGGTAGGAAGGGAGCTAGGATTTCCTTTTCAATTCAGAGCAGCAGGTACAACTGTGCCTGCTTAAGCACTTCTGCTGGAAAGTAAGTGCAGCCTGTGCAGTCCCTGTGAGGGCAGCAGGATGAGTGTGTTGTTATCTTCTTGCTGGTGCTCTGAGTTAAGGCAGAAGCCAGTTCCCAGGAAGAATRCGAGGCAGGCAGCTCCCGTGCTGTGGGGAAGCTCGTGCCCTGTCTTCAGAGGAGCAGGTAATACTGCACAGCTAGTTATGTACGCCCTGCRTCAAGGAAGATGTAACATCACTGGACAATGTCAAAGGCAAACTTGTGCAGAGAAAAACAAAATGCAAAATTAATGAGTTAATGGCTGGGTCAGTACCTGCCAAAAGGCTATCAATGTAGTGTGATGTGGATGGGAATAAGACACAAGAAGATGATACAGTGTTCCGCATGTAGTTCAGGGCAGAAATGTTACGTATGTAGAGTATTTAAAAGCAGTCTGAACACATTACATAATAATACAGTGACATTTTCCCACACACAACTGGGAGCAAAGAGAAGATGAAAGGATTCAAGTAATGTAAATGTAATTCACTGCATCTATATGTTTCAGACTGTCACCTTTGGTAATGACTGCACCGTGTTCTCRCTTGAAAAGACTGCTCAATTTAAACTATTTTCAAAAAGTTAATAAAGCAGTACATAAGAGCATCACCTCTCTCCTCCATCAAACCCTGCTCCCTGACATAAAGCTCACCCCAAACACAATACTTGCAGGAGGCAACTGAAGAACAGTTCRTGAAGTGACTGGCAATTAGCTCCCCCTGCCGTTTCCCTCCCSCTTTGCACACAAAGACTTCATAGTCACCTTGAACAAGGCACAAGAAAATATTCAATATATTCTGAGTTACAAATTTAAATAAAAGCAACATTATTCTATAGTTCAGTGGCACATTAGATTTATTTTTTTTCAAAAACTATTTACAGATGTACAAATATTTGCTTGTATTATACAAAAAGTTATATTAAGTAATTTWAAAAAAAAACACTTTTCTTTACAAAAGCTATATAAGCAGCAACATATATTGGGTGKGTTAAAGGAATAGTTGGCATAGTTTTTATATATTAACCAGGTAACTACGCTCAAATGATATGGCTAAGCTAAGCAAAGAGCAGGAATTATTTATATAGACTAGTTAAAAGAAATAAAGGGGTGAAGGAACGATTTGGGCAGGCAAGTCTGCTTGCTGCTAACCAGTACACATTAGAGCCAGGAGATTCCATTGTCGGACCCAACCACATAAGAAGGAAGATTCATTCTAGTGCAACAAAGTGAAGTCACTCCTAAACACAGTTTATTCAAGGATATATATTTTTGCCTATTGGAAGAATAAGGATGCGAGTTCCAGCAGAAGTTACTGTGAAACCTCAACGTAAGAGTGACAAAATATGTCAGAACTAGCCCTGCCTACTCAAAAGCACTCTGGAAAATAATTTTTTAAAACTATTGTTCAGAAATGAACTCTGTCAGACTGAGAAAAATGGTGACAAAAGGTGGCCGAACMTTACTGGCCAACACAAGCACAGAAAAAGGATCTGTAGTCCCTGCTATTCAATCCTAGTGTCTCTTGGCACTCAGCTTCTAGAGCCAAATTTGTCAGCACATTACAACTGCACATATAAGCTAAAAAAATCAAACACATCTACATGGAATTAATGAAAAGACAACTGAGATTACAGAWAACATAAGGCAAAAACTCTGATGGACATTACTCTCTTTGCAGAAATCTGTATATGTCCTATTTATATTTTTACAAAACAATTCCAAAAAATACATCTTTTATCTATTGATAATTGTTTCTTACCTATCTGATACAATCTCCTTCCATCCGTGACTACAGAAAACAAAGATGCCAGTGCAATACTCAATATATCAGATCTTGAAATGATGCGATGCAGAAACAGATATAATTAGGAAAAGCTTAATGGACAACCTGCATTAATTGTGTTATTTAAGTTACAGATACTCCTCCTTTCAGGAACCAAACAGATGATTAAGTCCCATTTTCTCCATTTGTTCCAACAGGAAACAAACATTTAACTCCTTCACAGTACCTTGAAAATACAACTCTAGACTGCTTACCTGAAATTCCAGAAGTAGCTCTAGATACATTTTTACTTGATTTTTTTTAATTAGCTAAACAGGAATAGTTGGTAAATATTTTGTAAAAGGATTTTATGGCACATTAAAAGAGCACCTCTGTATAAGTATCGCGTGGCAGGAGTCGCAGACGCGAACGGGCTTTGGCGAGGAAGGCAGGGGCAGCTCGTTGTCAGAGCAGGCATTACAGAAGATCTCACCACAGTTTCTGCAATGATGCTGAACGATGGAGATGAGGGCAGGAAGAAAAAAAAAATAGAGCTCTATATAGCAATTTATAATGCAATCCTAAACGGTTTTGCAGACTGTTTTCAAGCCCTTGCTTAGAGAACTAAAATATCTCGTTAAATAAAAGTAACATATAAATAATGATACTTGGTAGAGAATGGATGATTCTGTCAAGCAGCTCCTGAGACCTAACATAAAAAGTAAATAAAATATTCTTGTATACACTAAGCACAGAAATTAACAAGGATGATTTTAAAATAAGCTATTTTTTTCCACCCGAAAAAAAATCAACTGTAAAGACTTTCACATATGGCAAATTGTACCAGAGCCAGAGCTGACAAGAGCTCGAGATGATGATTCCGCTAAGTGGGCTGAATAAATTCTAAATACATTCTTCTGTGGCACTGCACCAAAATGCAGCAGTTCTTTACAGAACAGGATCCAACTGGGTTTAAGGTCAACCTCAAGCAAAGAACTAGAAAGATATTTTAAAAATGCCTATGTATTCATTTCAAGGTTGACATTTTGTCCTGCATCTCTAAGACAATATTATTCTCATAATACACATAAATAAGTTGGAAGAAATCTTTTGGCAGAATTACCTTCCTTTTGGAAAGTGAAAACTCCTTTTCACATAACTTGCAGTGTGTAGCTTCTTTGTCCTTCAACCAAACCTGTCCCTGGAGGAAATCAATAGTAAGTGTATCTGATCAAGTTTAACATAGTAACATAAAGATATGCCAAGATATACATATGGTGTAAGAAGTTCCTTCTTAGAAATCCTGCTTACCTGCAACACTCTGTTTGCTTCTTTTATATCTTCTATTTTCATTTTTGATCTAAAAAAATAAAGAGTATGCTATTTCAAACTCTTACTTTACCAAATATAGCCAACACCTTTAGAAGCACAAACTCTTTAAAAACCTTACCGGGAAAACATTATGAACTTTTAGCAAGTGATTTACATTAATGGGGCACTCCTAAGCTGCAGTCAGTGTCACTCTCCGCTCCGTACTAAGCACTGTACAAGACAAGGTATCTCTAAAGAGCACACAATCCCTTCTGAGTGGCTGCAGCATCACTGGGGGTCGGGTGTGTGACGGAAGCTTACACCAGTAAAACTCCACACATGCACCTGGCACTCAGGGGCAGTACAAAACAGGAAGGAAACTTCTAGGCCATAATAGGGCCATAATATAATAGGGATTCATGGAGAACCCAGCCAAACTGATGGAAAGCCTACACTAGCCAAGCCTTGGGAAAGCCCAAGACTTCAGAGCAAACTAAAGTACGTGATTGTCACGTACAGAATGCTCATGGCTATAAGTCAGGAAGCCGTGAGTGGCCAATGCTCATAGAAACAAATGCAGGTAAGGAGACCTGACCTAGCCGGATACATTTTTAAATGCTCCTGGATTACTGGCCTGATGATATCATCTTACACAACATACTTSCCTTGACTACCATCCTATAATTTTTCTTCCGTCAGTTTTATATGAGAGATATAATCATGAAAAATGGAATTACTCGCTAAGCTTGGATGCCAGGTCTTGGAGAGCTGCTTCTTGGTCTTGACATATGTTTTTCAGCTGTCTGTTCTTCTCCTGAAGTTTAAGGAAATCCTAAAAAATAATKCACACATACCCCCACACAATACATTTATTCACAAAAAAGAACAGTATTTTATATGCTTACTATGCCTACTGCTTAGAAAAACTATTCCTAAACAAAGCTGATCTTATTGAGAAAGTAAGATTAATTGCTGCAATGCACTATCTTCTATTCAGATCCCCAAATCTAACAGCAACAAAGACTAATTTTGCTTAGATCCTAAAAGGCAAAGCATTTTTGCTTCATCAGACTTCAYCAGGAAAGGAACAAAAGGATTGATAGCAGAGGAAAAAAAAAAAAAAAAATTACACAGCCATGTATAGCAAGAGAGAGAGAACTTGAAGCATTTTTTGGCCCAAACATAAGATGACAAAGTCCTTTCCCAAATATATTTCCAATATCTATTGAATAGAACAAACTAATCTTTCTCACCTACTTGCAGAAAGTCTTAAAAATACCATGTTTAAGTTCATAAATTAGCTTTGCAGTCAACTTCTAAATTACTAATCAAGTTTTAATCTTACTGCAGAATTTACTTTTTTAAGGTTAACTATTTCCTGGGTCTCTATTCTGAGCTGAGACACAGTTTCTTTTTCCTTGTGAAGATCATCTTCTAAGGTCTGTCGCCACTCTTTTTCTATTTTCAAATCTGTTTCCAGCTGAAGCCTAGAATTGCAAAACAAGGAGAAAATCAATGTGCACAAGAGTATCATTTTTAAAAAATTAAAAATGAGTTTGTTTCTGGGTGCCAAATACTATTAGCATAAAAAGCAACTGATCAGCTGACTTTTTTTTTAAAAAAGTAATAATGCAGCAACATCATAACACTTTAGACGTGTAAGAGAAAAGACTGCCATGTAGAAAGTGCTTCGCACAAATAAGTGCATTTGCAAAGGCCAAGGCTCTTACACATTTGGAGGAGCTGATCTTTGCAATATCATCAAGAGCAGATAATTCACAGAACCCTGAAGTATCTTTTCAGACACATGCCACAGGAAGTCCCCACCTCTGAATTTACATAGCTTGTTTCCAGAAGAAACAGCAAGAAACCACCTTCCACTGGTGCTGCAGAGAATGGTTACATCGATCTCCTGCGCTCACACAAGCTAGTTAGCGTTCTATCTTTAGGTGTGAATCGTCTGTTTTAGATKAAGGCCTAGAAAAAATTTTAATAGAATCGATGGGGAGGATTGTTTTTAGTGAGCTGCCTCTAACAGCTGTAAAGAGGGATCTAGGTTCTACTATTTATAGCTATTTGAGACCAGCTAAAGGAACTAGGGTTACTTTGATCAAAGATCCACTCCAGCTGCAATTCCAGTTGGGAGAGTCAGTCTTTACAACATGACAGACAAAACAAGGATGGGAGCACACTCTTCAAGCTGCTAGATCTAAGTCCTGCCAATGCAATACAGGAGGAAAAAATCTGAGAGCAGACATGCAAGGGTCTGGGTGGAGAGTCACGCTTCGTTTTCCTATCTTAAAACCAAAATCATTTTTAAAGGATAGACTTACATTTTGGGACACTACCTCAGCAGCTGGTTGGAAAAGCTCAGAAGTGAACATGACCTTGAGGTTTCAGAAATGCAGAATTCTAAAGTTGGGGTCTGAACTTTGGCCAAAATCTGTGAAGATGACTGTGGTAGTAAAGTAAACATTTGTCATGCCAGTTAAACAAATTTATAACATTCAGAGTTATGAGAGRGGGAAGGTGGCCTAATCAGCAGATTAGAAGCCACTAATTTTTAAGTCCCAATCATTTGGGATAGATTTGCACCGTCTTAAATACTTCGTTATCTTTCCAAATAGGGAAACACCTGATCCTAAAGGGAGCTTTTTACTTTAGATATTTATTTAAATCAGCGCATCTATGTTAGGTGGATGGACACTCTCCAGATTAAATCCTGTGAAGGATTTAACAGGAGAAAGGGCAAAGGTTGGATTTTGTTTCACTTTTTTTTTTTTTTTTATTATGCTTATCTAGTGGATTTTTATTATTATCATTATCTCCTGCAGAGTGGTTATTTAAACCACTTCTGAGAATTTTCACCTCATAAGCCAGATGAGCTATACTATTCCTATGCCATTTCTGTAGGCTTACATTCTTACTTATTTCTGGGTTTTGATAAGAGTGTGGATTACTGTCACCATATTACATACCTTTCCCCCTCTTATGATAATTTCCTAGGAAGCAAGTTGGTACTTCCAGCCAAAAACAACACTGCTGATCTCTCATTTCTAGCTATCCATCATTTCCTTAGTGCCCAAAGGTGGCACAGCTTCCTTGGAATGGCACGTTTCCTTTCACATTGCCAGTCACTAATCTCAGCATCGTTAGTAATTTCATTTTGCTCATCTACCAGCAACCAGCTGGTACAGACTGGTCTGTAGCGAGACACACTGCACGGCAGGAGGTTCCCTGTGGATATTTTCCAAAGAGGAGAGAGATACTTACAGCTGTTTCTCCTTCTGGGAGAATTCTCTCTGCAGTTGTTCAGATTTATGCCCATATTCCTCTTTAAGTTTCTCATCCTCACTCTCAGCTTCCATTTGAGCCTTCTCTGCTTGCTGCAATCTGGTGTAATTCAAATCAACTTTGGGTAAAACTGAGGCTAGAACTAGGGCATAGAGGGTGAAGAAGACAAATAAAAAGAAAAAATGGGGAAACAGAAACATTTCTAAATAAAAACAAAGTTTGGGGGGAAACTCACAAACTCAAACGAGAAATCCATACAATGCCTAGAGAAATAGCTCCTGTTTTTTTTCATACAGTAAGAGAGTAATCACTGTACATCTTGATGCTTTTTATTTTAAGTTCACGTTAACAGATGCCAAAGCATGATGTTACATATTTTAGAATTGAGGCATATATCTTAATGTTTTGCTTTTTATTTTTAGCATATGTCCATGTGTTACTTCGGGAAGGGTTTTGTTTTAAATAAAGCCCGTAAAAATATTTGCTTTGTACTAACACCCCTTAGGACAGGGCGTGTTGTGCAAAAACAGCTCAAAACATTTCAGGCATAAGGCTGAATATAGAGCACTGCAATCAAACAGCAAAAACAACTACCTGAACACAAGAAGACACGGCCTGAAGGATCCCACTACATTTAAACAACTAGCTCCACTAAATCACATTGTTAAACAAAGTTAAAGAATCTGTGCTAAAATTAACATTATAGACAAAATAAAACATTAATCAAGCAGGACTTTATTTCATCTTTTCCCTAGACCTCAAAGGTTGCTTTTCTGCGTCAGCTAGTATTTTCCTACCCTTGAAACCTATTAATTCCTTGTGATTGCTCTCTGCTTGACCACCCCTTCAGTCCAAGAAAGGCTGGATAGAGTGTAATGAGAATAAGGGCACCTAAAGCTACATACAGCTACRCCTGTCTCGATGCACAGCGCCAGTAAAATACTGCTCCATTCCCCCACCCAAAGCATTTTGTTTAAAGAGAGGTTTTAAGTCCCCACTCATGGGTGAAGTGCGAGACACTGGCTCTGCGTGCCCGAGTTCTCTCTTCCCCTGCAGCTAGCTGAATAAACAAACAAACAAAYAAACGAAAAGAACCTGAAAGTTGGCAGTCTGTCTTCTACATTTGTGCTTTTACTGACAAATTYGCACCAGTGGGAGTTGGCAGAAACTGCCAATACACGTGTGATAAAACACTGGAATGATATGACATTGTAGGACTTGTACTCCCCCAGGCAGCTCTACCAGGTAACAACATTCCCTGCCACATTTGTAAGTGTAGTGCAAAGAGGGCCAAAGGGCACCAGGGCAACAACATGGGGGAGAAGCAGGCTCTGCTACACAGGAGAGGAAGCTACACAGGAGAGGAGAACCAAGGCAAGCTAAAGGCCTCTTAAGCTACAAAAGCACCTGTGCTGCAGTGTCCCCAAGCAGCAGGGCTGGGGCTCTTGCTCCTGTTCCCTGAGCTGCAGTCTGGGCACCCCAGGCTGCAGCAGCAGCCTCTGCACTAGCACCAGGGCAAACGGGGCAGCTGCAGCGCCGACACGAACAGCCCTGTGCTCAGTCCACAGCACGTCTTGCTGTGCAGCTGATCCCGAGGCAGACGCTTGTTTGCATAGGTTGGCTACGAGGGGGTTARTGCTCACGGTCCTGCTCTGCTCTGCTGCTTTGCTGGGTCTTTCTTTGAGGACAGGGCAACTCCAGGCTCTTCCCTGCATGCAGATTAAGCGTCCAAATCAAGTACATGTATTCCAGCAGGGCATGCGAGCAGTAACAAAATTTGTGAAGCCTAACAAGGGCGGGAAGGAGGGAAAAGAAGGTCGGACGAAGCCCCAGCCGTAGCCACAGACAGGCCAGACACTTCACCCACAAACAGGTTAGATGAGAGCAGGATCTATGCCCTAAGTACAAACCCGGCCACCTCGGCTCTGCTCTTAGCAGGAGCTGCAGCGACGGCAGCTGCTCGGGGAACAGCCCTTCCTGCCAGCTCTGCTGCCCTGGCCRACTCTGCCCTCCAAACTCCAGGCACCTCTGGAACAGTACTTTACCCCCCATTGGCAGAACAGAATTGTGCTTTAGCTGTTCTATCCCCAAACCCTGTAAACCTTCCACAGTACACAGAGAACATGAGTTTTTTTGCCTTCTCTACCCCCTCCACTTTTTTTTTTTTTTTTYTCCTTTTAATGTATCATTCTGGTGTGACGCTTAAAGCTAAATCCCACACTGTTTATGAAAGCAGTGCTAGGTACAGCCAAAAAACCCAATGAACCAAACAACAAAAAAATCCAACCCCCTCTATCCCAAGATAAAGGCAGCCTAAAAGTAAAAGAAAGAAGCAGGGGTTACTTTTAAAATCTATTAGTACAATAAAAGAAAAAAAAAAACCCACTAAACTAGAAGCAAAGGTCAYAACAATGTGAACTCAAGGCAAAGACCTTTTAAAGTAAAGTTGGGCAATTAAAAAGACACTAGAAAACTAGTGTTTRCTGGCTTAATAAAAGTGCATTTACTATTTTTTTGAGAAGTGAGARGGGGAATGAGATTCCTTCAGAAAACAACAGAACCCAGCTACAGYCTAGTACAGTGCAAGATTTCTAGCATCACTTTATATTTAAAACTGTAATTTTAAAAAATCTTGTTTTATTTTATCAGTATCCTTTTTTTTTTTTTGAACAAGAGAGCTGGAGGAGCTTTCAGAATGATATATCTTTGACAAGTTTATACTGGTGCTGAGCTTCATTGCTGGCACATTTGATGAATGACATTGCAATAGTCCTAGTTTGAGTTAACAGATCTTTGTCACTTCATGAATGCAGTGGACAAAAATCAAAGACGGATGAAGGCAGCAAAACAGTAAAAATAAAAATTGGGATAAAGGATAAGGAATAAAAAGAAAAAAAGAGGGAAAAGGATGTCAATAAAAGAATACTCATGTCACTAAATTTTTTAGTACATAACCATGTTTTTCATAATCAATTTTAAAAGAAAAAACGACATGTCAAACACCAACATGACAGGGCTTATGGATATGTTACATTTGACAATTTRAAAGATCAATGTTGCATACAGGCCACTAAATTACACATGCGAATGATATGTTATTATTTTAATATGTAAAATATTTACTCCAACCATAACAACAAGTTCACACTGAAATTTTGGTCTTTCACTTCTCAGGCCTTCTGTGTAAAAACTCATTACATTATTGAAGAAAATGGTACTTTCACAGCAACTGAAAATTTTAGTAGCTTCAACAAAAATAGCAGAGATCCTTGAAGGAATTAAATATTTATACTAAGCATATGCTTCAGTGTGCACAAGATTAATGCTTTTGTTTCTTTTGCATTTCATTCAGATGGGAAAAAGAAGATTATAGATCAAAATTTTGAAACAGCTTAAAATGCAGCTGGTGGTATCAGCACAAAAAAGTAAAAGAGGAAAGATGGTACAGGAAGGAAAATGAAAGTTTAAGTTTCTGATTTGAATAAATATATTCATTACAATAAAAGAAAAAGCAGTCCACCACTCGTGGCTGTTTCAGAAACTTTTCCATTTCCAACCTGAGATTTACATTTCAGTGGCAACAGTACAAGAATGCAGTAAGGGAGAGGGATGGAGAAATGAATGAAGAAAAACAAAGATGAACCTGTACCTTTGTTCTAGTTGTTTCATAGTTGCATTAATTTGATTGGTCTTATCCTCTAATCGACTAATTATCTCATTCTTTTCTTTCATAGCATCTTCAGTAACCTGTATTATAAAAGAGGTTCATATTACACTGAATTAGTTTGTGGAGATTTTTCTTCAGTGTCTGAAGGAAAAAAAATGTTAAAATGACTTCAAGTTTTGATTCCTTTTATACATGTGAGTGTTAAAAATGGTAATCGATTAAAAAACCCACCTAACCAAATGTTATACCTGAAGCTTATTTATAGTTCTATACTTTGCAAATGCATAAACTATTTAACAAGAACAGGCCTTAATTTTGGTTTCCTTGCTTAGTCATTTTGCAATTCTACTTTAATTCACAGATTATCTTTTCAAGTAGCCCATTACACTTCTACCAAAAAGAAGAAGATGCCCTGGAAATTATCCAGGTTATCGAACTCTTATCACATCTCAAATCTGTACCTGAAAAATATTTTAAGCATTTTACTGACATATTTCACAACTGTAGTTGTTTGCAGAGCTGTAGGTCTAACTACAGGTACAGTATGACCCTTGCTGTGCAGACCACCACTATAAACCGGCCCCTGAAAAGGAGAGATGAAGAATGAACATCCCTGTCTTAACCCTTTGATTGTCCAGGAAGAGGGTTTGCATGTTAATCAGTGAAACCAGGGTTACCCCAGTTCCCAGAAGTACAGATTTAAATGAAAACAAACAAAACTACCAAACATATCTAAGAACTATCCCTCTTAGTTCTTTTTWCCCCAGTAGTCTTCTCTCCTAGTTTAGTAGTCTTCTCCCTAGTTTACTCGCACGGTCTCACTTATCTCTCTGCAGTAGTCCTGTATCCTTTTCCCTTCACTTTGTCACAAATCTGACTAATTTCTGGTGCTTCTTTTGTTCCACTAATTCAAACTTACATAAGTAATATACTTATGCATAAGTAATTTCTCACTAAACTTCCCCGGTGTTTGGGGGTCTCATTTTTAATATTCCACTATGTGCCTGCACCTTCTATTCTCTTGCTGTTTTGTGTACAACACAGCCAGGAAAGTCATCAGATAAGGTATTTCTCTGTTCCACAGGAGATGTTGATAGGCCACGCAGTTATCCTTGTGCCTATTTCCTGCATAATCCCAACAGCATTAAGGGACTGCCTTAAAACCTGCTTTGTGTACAGTCATGTTTGAATTAGAAATGTTCTGAAATGGCAAGTTGGCCTAAGRAGGAGAAAGAAGTTACAAATTAAGGAAACAGCAGTTTCCAAGTCATTTAATCAGTTTGACAATAGGTTGCTCTTTTACCTGCAGCTTTTGGTACATTTCCATGTTAATTGCTTTAACTTCATCAAGCTGCTGTCGAAGGCCTATGAGAGTGTCCTGTTTCTCATGGATGTCCTTCTCCAGCAACTTCATAGCAAGTTCTATCTCATGTTTCATACTAACTTGAACCATTAGCTCGTTCTCCATATCCTATAAAACACAGTAACACAATGCACTGCAGACTTTCTAAATAATATAGATATTACATATTTATTGAAAAAAGGAAAAAGCTAAACTCTAATAGGGCTGCAGCACTATCTATTTCATCACCACAGAAATTCCATTTCCCCCTACAAATATCTGCTATAGAAACTTTATGCTCACATACTTAGCAGCTCTCACATTTTTGTGGTTTTAACCTTGGGAGAAGATGCCTTACATTATGCAACATCACCAGAATAAATTATTATAAAGAGTTGCCTAATTATCAATTATAAAAATAGAACTAAAGTACTTCTATTTTTGCAATAARTATTTAACATAGGAACATAGAAAACCACACATACAGTTCTGCTAGTGACTTATCTATAGTGTTCTCAAATAAATTGTGTTTTCTATGCTTTTAACAATATTGTTAGAGATATATTAACATATCGGTGGCTGTGTTTTGAAAAGCCTTTTTCTAACATGAAGTTAGAACAAGACATTGTATTAAGGAACAAAAGAGACGCTAGAAATACATATATACCTACTCCTCACCAACATAATCCTCTAGAAATGCCACATGTTCCTGAAGAAGAGTACTCACTTGTCGAAGCTGTGATTCCTCTCGAAGTTGTCTACGTGCTTCATTGTACATTTCATCTAGACCCTGTCTGGACTGTTTGTATGTTTGAAGCTCTGCTTCAACATCCACTTTAGTTACCTATGAAGATGCAAAGATTTTTTTTTTTTCCATTTCAAATTTGGAAATTCATCTGATACATATATTTAACACTTAAACATACAATCTCCAAGCACAATACCACAAACAGGGAAGGAGCTTCTATCTCTGCTACATGCCCATTTTTACAATGAGAACTCATTGAGTAAATCCAGCAAAAGAAACAGTTGTTCTGCAGTACAGTCCTCCTCACTTCAATAGACAAAAGAAAAAAAGTTGTTAATCAATTGTATATGCAATTACTCCTAATGACTTATGTTTAACATAGTCTTAAATGCTCTTAGACATATCAGACAATCTAAAGCAAAAAGAACAAAGGTTAAGAAAAACATAAAGAAAACAAGAAAAAACGCTATAGTATTTGCATTTGGTAATAAAATGCCCTAGACTTGCATAATATCTATATATTTATACCATTACAAACTTTCCAGATCTAGTATATCCTTATATTATGTATGCATATCTGGCCCAGCTACTGCTTGCTTAATAGTTCTACGCAAGAACATTAAGATGACAACAAGCCACATTAAATATAGTAAAACTGGCATACCTCTAGATGGTGTTGTGTTTTCATTAAAATAAGTGTATTTTCACTCCTTAATTGATGATTTTCTTCCTGAAGTTTAATTATATTGTTTTTGGCTATTGCTAACTGGAAAAAAAAAAAAGGAAAAAAGTATGACCACTTTTCTACAGAAAAAATAAAACTGTTCTATTGCATACTAAAAATAAATGTTTCATTCTCCTTTTTAAACCAAACATAAAGCTCCTGGGTTTAGGAATGACAATTTCTTATTACAGACTGTATATCCAAGATACTTCATAACTTTATGCCTGATAAAGAAGTATATGCTTTCTTTTCATTGCTTCATTATGGATTAAAGATTCTCAATCCCTTTTTCTCATTCTCAAGTTTTTCTTTTTATTTAAATTCATATAGAGCTAACTCTGTTACTTTTGGATACCTTACTGTATCATATGCAGTTTACATAAGCAAAGTCTTAGGAAAAAAAGGGCAAAAAGCACAGAAGGGGAAATATTATATTTGGAGCCTGTTATATYTACTGTTTTCTCAGAATTATAAAGCAGCTATCACAATAAATCAACAGCTGGAGATGAATACTTGTAAAACAACCGAAAAAATTGGGAATTRGCATTCAAAAAAGTGCTTTCCTCTATCTGTATAGATTAATACAGAGTAAACTAACTTCCTTAACAGATAAATTTAGACATTTCAATTTTCCTCTTCACTAGATATTGCTCAAGTAGCTTGGGTTAAAAAAAAAAAAAAGAAGTGCTCTCTCATATAGCCAAGTATAATTAAACCTAATCAGGCACCAAATATACAGAAAATCTAGGCTATAAATACAAGAGCAGAATTAGGCTAAAATAACCTGCATATACAATAAATGAATAAGGAAGTATCTATGGGTAAGAGMTGAGAACCAACAGAAACTGCTTGTTGAACTACCTTTGCTCTCTATGCAGTAGCTGGTGTCATCCGTTATGGACCAGTCAACTGCACAAAATGGGACTGACAGCTGGTATTAAGGAAGACATTATTTCTGTTTGAGCTGTCGGCGAGAACTTGGGATGTTCTGCAGAATACATTTACTGGATGTTGCCAAGGGAAGATGACTTCCAATCCCTGCAACTGCCACACCTTCTCTTAAAGCCAAATTAAAGGTATCTGAATACAAGCAGTATCTGTGTGGATTTAAACAAAATATTTTATGAAAACATCGTTTGAGAGTAATAAATGTAGTATATATTTCCAATAAATAATACCTCTTCAATTAGTTTAGTGTTTGATTTCTCTAATGAATCAACTCTTGCATGTAGACTGTTAACTGTACTACTGAAAGAAAGAAAGAAAGAAAGAAAGAAACCATTATTCAAAATTACATTAAATTTTATTCAAGAAAGCTCAAAAGCTTTAATGACAAGTACAACAATTAATAGTAAGTGGTAGGAGGTTTGCGGACACTGAGGTTTTGCTAATGTAAGAAAGTTACAACTGCTTCTCTCTTTTTTTTTTTTAAATTTGTCCTCAAGCTCCCTCTTTTTTGTTCCGTTTTGCTTTCACTTGTAAGGTTTCTGAATTTTATTCCTTTCTATTTTTGTATGCATTTTCATCTTACTGAACAGAACCCTTTGACCAAGCCTCGTCTATTATTTGACTGCCCATTTCTGCTTTAAGCACATCCCTTTGGGTTGACCTTTATGTACAGAAAAAAAACTCCAACCTCTTCTGTAACATCCTTTCCTTTTTCCCTGTTTCTACCAGGGTGCCCTTGGGAAGTTACCAGTTCATTAAGAATGACTAGATGGAAGAGATTAATGTGGTTACTGATGTGTGGAGGACAATTGTTCAGCTGCTGGTCTGCAGTAGTTCCATGCATAAACCAGTGTACCAGAACATACTGAATAAACACAGGCTGACTGTGACGTGGAGAGCTATCAGTGCATTACACAATCACCTCTACCCTTGCTCCATTTGCCTCAATTTTGGCACCACTGTAGATTTGATACCATGTCCTGCTGGATGCTACTGTGGCCTGTTTGTCTCTGTTCAGTGGCTGGCACAATTCCACATACTTTCTGTGCCACCACAACAGCCATATAATAACTAATTATCAAGATTATCAACTCTAAAAGCAAAAACATACTATTTTGTTCCAAAAGGCAACTGGTTATATGAAGATCCTATAGAAGCAGTTCTCTTTTTTTTTTTTTTTTTTTTAAGCTCTTTGCATTAATGTCCTTCTGTACAACACTCTTCAGGTATCAAAACCCACTACTCCTCTATTCATACACTAACAAACCCAGAACTACGTTTGTTGTGGGCTAGGTTTATCCCTCCACCAAGTGAGCAGAAAGGGGAAAGAAAATAGCACCTCAGGGCACTGACTTTCTTCAGTTACAATATTAGCAGCTAACATTGCTTTCATGAAAATTATATTTCTTTGAAAACCATAACCTAAAACACAGTTTCCAACAACACACGAATCCATTCAATTGTGATCCTAACCATTTTTTCCTAACCATTACAGCTACAAAACTAAAACATTATGAAAGACAGAGAAACTAAAATATGTGAAATCATACAGAACATTCAATAAAACTTGCTCGAAATTCTTGATTGGAATGCAGGTAAAATCATATTTCTCACAAGGCATCCATGCTTAACTTGCTCCTGTGAAACCCTAAACCCAAAGCACCTTTGACAGTTTTGGTCTGGTAGCTTTCAGTGTCTAAAGAATAATTTTGTTAGTTCCAACTAACATGAAGAAAAACATAAAAAAAAGTGTCTTCCTCCCCTCAGTCTATCGAGAAAAGTATGTATCCTTTCCAACACTGCTACAATCTCAAAGAACTGTTTCCCTACAGGTCTTGCAGACAAAACTGTGGTATAAAACAAAGCAGAGATTTTACCCAGAAACCTGGACTGACCTGCATACTTTAAAGTAATACTTACTTTAGTTGTCTGTTTAATTCTTCAACATAATTCTTTTGGTCCAAAATTGCAGCAATCTGGACATTTCTAAAACAAGAACATTACAAAGGGAACTTTAACAAAATGGCACGTACTTAAAGTAGATTTAGCTAGCACATGTACTGTCCATGTGAAATATATAGATGTGTACACTATCATATGCAATGTTCATATCAAATGTGTTCAAAAGACAAGTAACTTCATCTCACTACCATAAGGTGAGCTACTTTTAGCAAGAGACAACAGTGAGAGACAAAATACCCCAAGCTGTGGCTATGAACAATTATTATACATAAAACATTAAGAATATACACAGTCTCAAAATAAAAAAAGGCACATTCATTTACCTTACCATTACTTTAGTTCTTTGAAATACTGACCAAAACCCAATCCAAGGGCTTAACTCTTAAAGGAAAGCCAAAGAACCTCTTTGTTTATTTGTTTTGGGGAAGCTCTTGGCATCTTTGGCAAGATAGTTTTACATTGGCATCCTGAAATTCTCTAATATTGTCCATGAAGTAAAAAAAATAGGTGATATTTGTTCTGCTGGCTAACCAGTAATGCAAAAAAAGATACTGCACAATCTTTCTCAAGACTGCGAGATCAAWAAACTTCATTTCTCAGGAATCTGACTTACCTCTACAAAGAGGAGGATGCCAGGCAACTAATTTCTTATTAATAAGCCAACTGAGGTATATGGGGAGAACATACCTTTCTTTACCCCCGATGTCTTCGTCACTCTTTAAATACATAGAGAAATCAATCACCCCCACCTGGAAGAAAGCAAGCATATACAGTTTTACATCATGCAAGTAATTTTTTTTTTTTAAACTCATGGTTTTGTATCTACATAATTACTCAAATCTCAGTTTCATCAACTTGCCTCAGACTGATCTATTTTCTATTTATTTGAAGCATAAAGAAATGAACAGTAGCTTTAAGATTCTTTAAAAATATCTCACATATTAGTTTAAAATCTTACATTTGGAACAAAATAATCAATATGCAATTATCTAAATCCCTCTCAGTACTAAGAAAAAGCTTACATTTGACAGAGCTTGGCCAAGAACTTAAAGGAAGACATTCAATTAACCATATAGGCTATAAGTAACGTTAACATAAGTTCTACTTTTCTTTCTATCCACGAACTTCTACCTAACTCTGTTTGCTTTACACCTAACACCTAACTCTGTTTGCTTTACATAAATCATTCCTTTCAATCTCTTAATATCCTCTTCACAAATGTGTTTCAGTTTCTCTCATCTACCTGTTTCCTTCTTGAGATCCCTTGGTTTGCATGACACTTCTGTTTCATTCACATCTTGTTTTTTGTCTCGTTCCTTTAAARCCATTTCTGAAAAGTCTCTCCTCCAAAAACTTTTATAGGGCTTATAGGGCTATGTGTGCATACACACATTTATCCATACAGGTTTTTTCCCCCTAGCACTTTAAATTGACATTCCTGAATGTGATTTCCACCATACTTCAGAAGTTTCCAATCCTGTTCACTGCAGCTCATTTTTTTCTGGTTTCTCTGAAGCCTTATACTGCTTTTCACAATCAGAATTGCTGTSAAAACTGATCTAGACAGCAACTATTACCTTCTGAAAACAAGTTTACCTTTGAACAAAGTTCAAAGTCAAAGCAGTTTGCAAAGGAGGGAAGGCTTTACTGAAACAAGTCTTGTTTTGTGTACTGAAAACAGGCACCATCTATAGTTCCTTACAATACCACATAAAGCAAATTTTTGTAAAAGTCCCTGCCAGAAGCTCTGGCCAATCATAACCCTAGAATAACAAAAACCACTGCACATAAAAAAAATCTTATGGACCACATGTACATGATTTTACCTGTATTGACTTACTTGTGAATCTAGGTCTTCTCCCTTTACACACAGGTTAGCATCTATCACATTTAATCCTACTAACAGCCCGACAATAACTGCTCCTTCTTCCTCCATCATTAGTGCATGATACTCATAAAATTCACTGTTAAATAAGAATTGCATCAAATAGTTACATTGTAGAATTTATTGCATGTAGTAAATTAATAACAATTAACATTTAAATCTGAATTGCTTTTCCTGTTTTAGCCTTACTTGAATGTTCTTAAAGATTAACTGACTCTGTCCATACCTTGACATCACCATGAATATTTAAAATTAGAAAGTAAATGATCCGTCTCAGAGACCAGTGTTGCCTCAAGGAAGCTGGGCTACAACCTGTTGGAGRGCTCGGTAACTTGGGGAGTAAGATTCATCTTGTTGCCCTTTTCCTTTCCCCCACAAAAACCACTCTTCTCTGTACATTTACTGTTAGCCAGTCTTGGATAGTATGCTCATTTAGATGGATGTTTAGTCAAATCAAATCAGAGCATTCTTACGCTGTTTAAAAAAATGCTAAAAAACATGAATTTTTTTTTTCTTAATTTTGCATGCAAGAAAAGATTTGGATTTTAACAAATACGTGTTTGAAATTAAAAAAGCCAGATAAGAGACTAAATATGTAGAGCTTATAGGACTGAAATGAGGATGGGCAAGTCCTTTTTCCCCATGTGCTTCAATTATGCCACCTCCACGAAGAGGTTATCTAGAGAGCATAACAGAACGCTTAGCTGAGTAAACCAGAGCAATGGCAGTTTTGGCATAGCAAAAAGGAAAGGAAATTTCCAGGCACTAGTCCTCCATGCAATCTTTGCCTGCCAGTAAACTATGCATATGTTTGCAGTGAGCTCTTCACCTCTCCAGAGGTTTCTATTCCACCGTTCTGCGTGGCCAAGGAAGAGGGGGCATTTCCCCATCACCCTCACCTATGAAAGAATAGCCAGGCATGTTGCGGAAGGGCCCTTTACCAAAAGGAGGTTTCCCTCAGAACATCATCTCTTCACCTGTCAGCTACGATGACCTCATAGCGTTTGGTCTCTCTGTCCTAAACATTGGGAAAAAAAATCCGCCCACAGGCCAAAAACCGGGTCTTGCTACACTACGGATACATTAAAAAGTAGCAAATAGAATACTCATTCTCAAAAGATCACATCTCTAGAATAGGACCCTAAATAAAATCGGCATAATTGCTTACCTGAGAAGATCCCTCTGAATGATTAAGCAGCRAAGATAGTCTGCCATTTTCTTCTGCATTAGTGCTAAACGTAACCAGGCACGGGCACGGCCCAGGGGTGTCCTGAGAAGGAGGGAACGGAGAAGACAATCAGTCCAAGGCCAACGATACATTTATTTGTCTTAATTGTCTTAATCTATTTACAGCTCCCTCTTCTAGGTCTCACAGCCACAAAATGTAGTGAGCGCCTAAATGCATAAGAAATTTATGTTGTACCAAAACAGCAAGGGTGATACTTGGAAAGGGGTATATCATCCAGCCTAACATAAGAATGGATAATAATTTAGTGCACCTTTGCACTTCAGACAAGGTCTAAAGCAGTAAATCAATTAGCTTTTATGCTATCATATATATAACCAATATATGTAACCAAATCCTTCAAGAATTTAATGTACAGCCAATTATAACGCTAAATACAAAAGTGGGATGCAGAGGGATGGTAGGATACTCTACTCTACAGTAGAGATTCACATTTGAGATGCAGCCACTGCAGAATCCTACCACAAAAATCTGAAGAACTGCCCAATTCTTTCTTCTTGGGTATTACACTTCTTGATTTTATACACCATTAGCTGGTAGGACTTGCATGTTTTCCACAGTTTTAGACTGTTCATTACCTAACCCCTTCCTTTTCACAGTGGCCACTGTTTGGAAAACTCTTCTCCCATGGATATGAGGAAAAAAAAAAAAAAAAAAGAATCTTACTGTTTTTAGCTTTCTCCGGCAAAACACATAACCTACGTTTTCCCCAAATATTATGTTATTCCCCAAATATTATGTTATTACCGCAAAATGAAGTTTGTATACACACGTACGTTCTAAATCAAGCCCCTGTTTTCTTGCTGAATTTTACCATCACCACTTACTTGAGGCCAGGTAAATCTCTGACACTTGCTGCTATTTCCTCAGCTTCTGGATATAACTTCTCCACAAGTTCTAGAGGACCCCAGATAGTTTTATTGTAGCTTAGAAAGGATTTTCTTACTAGCAAAAGGAAAGCGAAAAACAAAGTTAAAGTTACTGGAGTAGCTTTCTTCAATAGAACTGCTGACACTGGTGAACCGATCACTTATCTTAAGAATTACTTTGCTGTGACCATAAAATTGCTGGTGGTAGAAAAAAACAAATGCAGGAAGTGCGACCAACTATAAACGTAAGTAACATACATGCAGTTCCGGTAACCTCTGCATTATTAACAGGGACAAATGGTTTACAAAAAGAGTTGGCAAAYACACATCGCGAAGAACTAAAAATGACAGATGATTTAAAAAGGTACCAACTTAGACTTTTTATTTACTTTTGAAAAGTATTACAAGGCAATGTGATTTTATCACATACAAAAAAAAAAAAAGAAAAGAAGGAAAAATGTTAAAGAATGGGAAACTGCTAAGTGGGTATGAGAAACATGCAGGCAGAACAACGGTCACACCTTTAAGGCCATGCTTCAGGCAGTGCTCCATGACAACGAAGAACTGCTGCAAAGGAGGGTAGTCGGAATCCAGAGTGCGGCCAAAACTCAAAGCTGATTCAATAAGTCCTTTGATACTCAGTTTAGCCATGTTGAGTAAATTGGCTCTTTCCACAGCTGTAGGGTCTTTTACAGCTACGACGAGAAAGAAGARTTGTGGTTCACATTTTAGAAAATACACAGTGAAATGACTTGTGTCCGCCTTGTTCAAATAAAAACTTTTTTTTTAAGCTTCATGAGATAAAGCAAAGTGCCAAAGAACCACGTTCCAGAACAACATACACTCCAGAACACACACTTTTATGCTTCTTATATTGTTTTAATAGGTGAGTGAAGAAATAAGGCTGAAGATGTTATTTCTCAATTACTTTACAGTCTCAGTTCATACTGATAATGGTCAGTAATTAAGACTTATCTTAAAGCAGGTACCAATACTGTGCTCAAACACACAGCTGCATAAGAGGCATCAGTGCTAGCACCATGACATCAAAGCTGCATGCATACTCATGACATCATACCTTTCTCCTGTTTCTATGGTGATCCTCATTTCTCAGTGACAAAAACCTGTGCTTTCCTTTTTATGTAGCCTCAATGAGCAAAACTGGACTAGGTCCAAGAAAACAGAACGCATGAACATTTGGTTTTTGAAGAACTGAGATTTCATACGATTATAAAGTACTACCCACACAGGAAAGTTTAATTCTAAAAGGTGTTGCTTTGAAAGTTCCACTTTAAAATACTTAAAATAAGCTTACAAAACRTAACATTACAAAGTGTAGATTTGTGAATTAAATCAGATCAGTGAAATTCCAGGTTCTTAAAAATTCTCATCTGACAAGATGGACACAGTTCCTCTTCTTAAACCTCCTGCTACTGAACCCAGAATGTTCAAGAAATTTTTAGTTTATTTTCTTTCTTTTTTCTTTTTTTTAAATAAAGCCCTTTAATTCAAAGCAATTTAATTGCCAGACTGAAAGAGAAACAAAGCAACCCTCTGTTTACCCAGAACATGATCTAATTAACTTGGGAAGAAGCAAAGAAAGTTAGGATCTACTGGTTTCTGCTATTTGCAATTAAAACTAACAGATGGAAGTGCAAATAATTAAGCTAATAACATGATAYTGTTTAATACACTGAGCCATAGATGTCAAAGTAGGTAAACATATTTGCATTTGAGGAAAACTGTCATATACCGATACTTGGATTTGTGAAGCAAGAGGTTCACAATCTTGGACATCTGAAAGCATGAAGAATTAAGAATTCTGGTGTAGAAATTAAAGAAAAAAAGGAAAAAATAAGAGAGAGGAAAAGAAAAAAAGACTATTGCACATGGGACTAACCATCGAATACACTCTTCAAAGAGCAACAAAATGATTTGTCTCAATTTTTGCATAGGTATCATGCACTGGAAATCTAGCTTTTTTTTGTTTTGTTTTTTAAACTGACACAGTTGCCCAGTTTGTTCCTTGTCTGCTTGGCCACTCAAACACCGAAGACTAAATCAACCCTAAAAATGCAGCAGCAGCAGCTCCTTTCTGGAGCAGGGGAAGGCTTGCAACATGACTGTAAAGCTCAYGCTGCCTTTCCTTTCTGCTATTGACAGTACTATATGCTCACAACCCCAAAAGCATCTTACAAATCCATTTCAACACACCTGGACTTGGACTTTTTGGATAGATCCTCCCCACAAACACAGTTACTCTCTTGCCTCATCTTTCTGAGGCAGGTATGTGTTTTAGGTCCATTGCAAAATGCAATTTAGCTGCGTAGAGCTGCTTAATAAGTAGTTAAAAAAAAAAATTACGATTTTGCATAAGGTGGTATTTAAACAGCTAGGAACCATGAACTGCTGCTCAGGGATCGTATGGGGCAGACACAAGGAGCAAAACAGACCTGGAAGAGCTTTTTGCCCCCCAAAGCAGCAGCTGGAGAGCCGAGCCGCAGACAATACTGACTGCACCGGCCTCACCAGTCGCGCCAGCCGGGCTTCACCCAAGGGGCAACTCCTCCGGCAGCCCGGCTGAGCAGCCAGGAGCTCGTTAAATAAATACACGCACAATATACAGGCACACAAGTGAAAAATGCGCAGTCACACCGGAGCGGGAGCCCGCAGCAAACGCGCCCTAACGGCCGCCGCCTTTGAGGCGAGCAGCAGCCTCCGCCGCCCTAACGGTCGCCCGGGCCCCCAACGGTCGCCCAGCCCCAACGGCCGCCCGGGCCCCCAACGGCCATTTCCCCCAGGGGTCTCGGGCACCGCGGGCTCTTCCCCCGCGGCTCGTGCCCCAAGCCCGCCGTGGCGGCCCCGGCGCCGCTTACCCATGGCTGGAGAGCAGGAGATGCAGAAGGAGGAGCCGCCCCGCCGCTCCCTGCGGCGCCGCTGCTGCCGGCGGCTGCCGCGGCGCCGGCCCGGCCTCCCCGAGCGCCCAAGGGCGCCCCCGGCGGCGGGAGGACCCGCCTCCGGGCGGCCTCCGTTAGTCTAATTAATAACGGAGGAAAAGGAGGAAAATATAAGGACACGGGGGCGGCTTCCAGGCGTGCCAGTAGCCGGAAACTCCCACCCTTCATCCCTTCCTAGAAGGGAGAAGGAAAACCCAACCAACCCGCACCCCAAAATAAATAAATAAAAATAGAGAGAAAACAACACTAAGAGACCCCAAAGCCTAAATAGTGATCATCCTAATTCAATTCAATGCTGATCCTGCATTATTTCAGTTTCAGAAATCCCAGGAACTTGGTCATTACTCAGTGCTCAATCCCTTCCCAACTATTCCTAAAGACACAGGGCATATCTACACCTGAAAAGGGGACACCCATATCACTCAAATTATTTTTTTTCCATTGATAATCATATTTTTGTAAAGCATCAAGAGATAACACATTTTTATTTCATCACAAACATTACACAAGTCAGAACGGGTTAAAAAACTCTTAAGATGCTCACCTTTAATATGTAGAAGTTTGTAACTATGTGCACTCAACCATTTGACATTGATCCAAGAGAAAATATCCCTCGAATATTAATGATATCTAAGGAGTCAAGAATCTGAAGTTTCTTCCAGCAGTCTTTGAAAGAAAAGGCTCAATAAGATGGTACAATATGAGGTAGCATTAGGAAACTAAMATAGATCCATCAAGTAAAGGATACCTTGTATTGCACATATGCTATCCTTTTTTAAAAGTAGAATTTGGGTATGTAAACTTCTTAACCATCAAGTGGCTTCTCTTGTTTAATCTTTTAGTCAGAAAAGATGACTAAAATACTGAAAGCCGCAGGACTTGAACTATCATCTTCAATGAGCAGAACTTGTCTTAAAGAAATTTATCTTAATAATTTAGTTAATAAAAAAAGTAAAGTAAATCAGTGCCACCTTTCCCACACCTATGCTGAACAGTTTAAACAAGTCATCAAGGGGCCTTCATAAGGTATTCATTACATTATGCATATAAAAGTTTAATATTTACAAACTAGATGTAATTTTTAATAGGAAYACGAGGCTTTGAAGATGAGAAAAGATTCCTGTTTCTTTTCTACTMTATAGAACAAGGGTATGTTAATTATGAACGCTAATAAAAACTGCTGTATGTAAATAAGTCTTTAAAACCAATCTGAGCCTAAAAACACTAACTCAAAGCAACATGGACTTATCCCCTCCTTTGCCTCTGGTTTATTACAAGTATATTGGCACTGAAGTGAGTAGCTTAACAAGCCACTTATTAAAGAAAGGAATACGAGTCATCATTTTTACTGAAAGGCAACCTTTAAAATAATTGCATGTATTTCTGTTCAGCCTGACTCAGATTGAACGGTGCATAGCATTCCCACAGCACCCCACTGATGAGTTATTTACATTCAGCAGCACACACGAAGTATGTCCATCAAGCTCCTCATCTTTAGGGTCATAAAATGCTACATTTCTGGATACTTTCATGAGCACCTGCTGGAAGATTGAAGATGTAAACAAGTTAAGGAAATAGTACTCAAGCATTTTAGTAGTGTATTGCTTTGACAAAAACCAAAAAACTTTAATATTAGTGTTAGTTAACAAAACAACCAACAAAACCATTCTATCAATGCTTAAACGTGTGTGCCTGCTGAACTGTAAGTATAGCCTAAGAAAGCGAAGTTCTTCCCATCCTTCCCTCCCACCCTCCAGAAGTCAAACTTACCTCCCCGCTTTCATAAAACAATATGGAATAAAAAAAAGGATATCATTGCTTCGGACTGTAAATGGCAGAGTAACTTCTCCAAAGGGGGATAGCGGCACAGAGACGGAACACAACCGACCATGATTAGTTTGTGCTTGGCTCTTGTGATAGCAACGTTAAGGCGTCGCCAGTCCTTCAGAAGGCTGCCAAGCTGTTAAATAAGCATAGCTTGTTTTTATTCTTGCCACTTTTCAGAATTTAAYGTACATGGACACATGGAAAAGAGCATCATTTAAGTTTAAGGTTCAGGGTTGTTTCTGAATTCTAATTTGACTGAAAAAGTCCAAATAATACAACCAACTCACGTTTTCATCGTGGCTGTTTCTAACAAAGGACACAATTATGATGCTTTTGTCTCTTCCTTGGTATTTGTCTACRGTATTGACTTCCACTCTATTCTCTTTTAGTCTCACCATCAAATCAGTGATTGTTTTTAATTGATGTCTATATGGCGATATAATACCAATGTCTGAAGGTTTACAGCCAGCCTGAATAAGGAAAAAGAAAAAAACTTGTCACTGCAGTTAACCTGAGATATACTCTTACAGTCAGAACATGCTCAATAGTTTTCACAGTGCTGCAAAATATTCTCTCTACACGTATTCTAAATCCTTGTTTCTTCTTTCTTGCTCAARATGTAAGGCAAGCATTCAGAACTCTTAGAATTATTTTGTACTGAAGCCAACTAGATGAAATAAGAATGGCAAATCCCTTCTCACCTCCCTCACGCACACATACACTTTCCGAGAAAATCCAGAAATAACTCAAAGAATAACCAATAAGGGTAGCTGTGAGGCACATAACAATGTAAAATTGTTACGAAGCTGGCCCTCCAAACAACATATTAAAGAAGATACCTTGATAAATAAGGACGTGAGGAAGAGGACTATTTTGGCTTCTGTCACATTACTTACACCACCTTTTTCTGCATGTTCTGGTGCTGGGACCTTTAAAAATGAAATGAAATATGAAAACAATGACTTGTGGTCTACAATGACACAGAATATTCTGATTACTAAACCACTGCCTATTTAGAGAAAATTTTAAACCAAAAATATGGCTGAATGCTATGCTTTACATAAGGACTGTATTTTTAATGCTACATTTACAAAAAAGTGAAAGAATCTCCTAACATGAGTTTCTAGTAGTAGAAGTCACCTTAAGCAACTGCCAAAGCTTCATCTTCTGACCTTACACTTCAGACCACACAATAGCATATAAGCCATGGGGAAAATGGAAGGCAGTATCAAATACAACTTCCAAAGTTCAAAGAAAAGGAAAACAAAAAGAGAAAGAAAGGTATTCACACAAGCTAGTTTTCTTAACTAAAAACTCCCTTTTCTGCATCATGTATAAATGAGATCAAATATCCAGGAACAAACCTAACAAATTGATACTATTTTAGTAACTACATTTTTTACCATTTATCCTCTTAGCTTACTTTGTTTAAACTTAAGGAAGACAAAGGTATCACTAACAATGATTAGCCCATCTCCCTAACATTAGGAAGGGCATGACAGCTACCGAAGCATTCCTAGAAGTCCCTCCCTATTAAGTTTAGGCACTTTTAAAAAAAGTATCAAAAGCTAGGTCTATCCAAATACATCAAAAACCAGGACAGAGTTCAGAGTGCATCCAATTTCTGTAACACCTGCTAAATTAAACTTTTCAACTGCTATGAGATGAAGTGTTCCTTGCAGTAGATGCACCATCACAATTCATCAGCTATATTAAATACATCTGCACATCTTTTATGTAACTAGAACATTTTTAAAGCTAACTATTTTAGCTTTAAGTTTTATAAATTCTCACTGTCTTTAAATTTTAAATACATACTTTTTAAAAGAGAACATAATTAACTTCACCTTCTCTGTGTTTAGAAAACACACAGGTGTGTCTGGTTCAAGTACTTCTTTCAACCACATTTTAGAAGAATCTGCAAGATCCAGTTTCAACTGTTTCAGATTTGGCAAGTTCACAGTGGCTTTTGACACCTTCTCTGAGCCACATTCCAGTTTGCCTTCATAGACCAATGTGTTACTCAATGACATAATCTTACTAAGGATTTAAAGACAAGAACAGTGTCAAATACTGCTGTTTAAGTTGCACAAATAAGAAAAGCATAAAAAACAAAAGTTTTAATACCTATTCATTCTGTACTGCACAGTTAGCTGGACAACAGCATTCTGGTTTTGTTCCAGTCTCTTAAATAAGCTTTCACTCATGCCAAGATCTCTGTTACAAAACAGACACACAGAAAAACACTTTAGATACCTCAGTCAAAACACTGCAAGAGCTGCCCAAAGTTCATACTACTGATAGTTGTCCAGCAGCATTTTATCTTACCTGGCTTCTGCATTCTGTACCAGTGGAGGCAATTGCTGGTGATCCCCCACCAGCACAAACCTTTTTGAAGAGAAGAGTGGGCCGAGGCAGATGGGCTGGCTTATTTGGGAAGCTTCATCAACTATACAGAAATCAAACTGCTTCCGAACAAAGATGGGGTGATTTACTCCCATGCAAGATGTTGCAACCACTGGCTGAAAATGGAGACACACTTCAAAGTAAGAGATACTTTATACCCATTAATACTACACTTTGCAGAATAAACTAAGAAAAAAAAAGTTTCCAACATATAAAATATTTCCAATTCTTACAGACCAGAAAAAGGAAAATCATTAAAGAAATCACATCATTAATCCTTGATTCAGATCAGTTCACACCTCGCATACATMTTGGCCTTACATATTCTTGAAATTTTATACTAGTTACAGAAGACAATTGTAAAAGACAGCTTTAGAAAAGGAGATAGCTCACACCATGTTCCTGACATGCACTTAGGACAGTAACAGGTTCCGAGCACAAATAAGTACAGTTTATGCAGTATGGTGAGGTATCTACCTTCAAAAATTGGTGAGGTGAGAAGGGAATTATTCCAGAGAAAAATGAAACAGCAGCACAGTTATTCCCACTCCTGTGCTTCAATTGCAATCTGAAGTGACTATAAACACAGAACATTTAGTAATTTCCCTTATAACTGCAGCCATTCCCCTGCAATGTCTGTGTGCAGAAAAGTAAACGACCAAAAATTGATTTGTTTTTGGTCAGATCAGCTCAAAAGTAAAATTCTGTCTTCCCTACCCTCTGATCGCGTAAGTCACAA